CGTGTATCTACTTGAGATAAATGTTTAACTCACATGCCTGTATTTTGTTTGGCTAGAAACAATAGGTGTGGGTTCAATTCCAGACCTGAAGGGCAGCTAGGGGCCATAGTCTCAGTGGTTCCACCAGGCTCTGTCAGACCAGCAAACCTGGTCCCCACTTTTTTTTTTGTTTTTTCCCTCCAAATGATTTTGAGTTTTGTTCCACATTGTTCTCCCTCTCTATCCAGGATCTCCTACATAGATCCCCTTCCATGTGGATGACTGGTAGCCAGGCACCATCTAGTTCTTCTGGTCTCATAGTTGTATAGGCTGCAGATCAGATGGTGTACCAGTCTCTAGGACTAATAGACTTTTTATTTTAGAATAGTTTTAGATTTACAGAAAAATAGTGAAATTTCACCTCTTCCTTGACTTAACCAAGTTCATGCCATATTGGAATGGGTATCCTCATTTACACAAATGTTCTCATATGCATGCATAAGACAGCATATATATAAATGGAATCTAGTGGCGGAGTGGACAAGGCATTTGGCTGCTAACCAGAAGGTCAGAAGTTCAAACTCACCAGCTGCTCCACAGAAGGAAGGTGGGGCAATCTACTTCTGTAAAGATTTACAGCCTTGGAAACCCAATGGGAGTCGCTATGAGTCAGAACTGACTCAATGGCAGTGTGTGTGTGTGTGTGTGTGTACACACACATACATACACATATACATGGGAACTCTGGTAGCGCAGTGCCTAAGGCACTTGACTGATAACCAGAAGGCTGGCAGTTCAAACCCTCCCACCATTCCTCAGAAGGAAGATGGGGCAATCTACTTCCGTAGAGATACTGCCTCAGAAACCCAAGGAGGGGTCGCTATGAGTGAGTCCGACTCATATGGCACATAATAACAACGACACGTAGACATAGACGTAGATGTAGACGTAGACGTAGACGTAGACGTAGACGTAGACATATACGCAGGAGCTCTGGTGGCCGTAGTGCCTAAGGCACTTGACTGCTAACCAGAAGGCTGGAGGTTCAAACCCACCAGCCACTCCTCAGAAGGAAGGTTGGGCAGTCTACTTCTGTAGTCATACGCCTTGGAAACCCAAGGAGGGGTCGCTATGAGTCGGGTCTGACTTGATGGTACACAACAACATACATATATGGTTTTAAAAATCAAAGTAATATAAATAGATATGTGGTAAAAAAAAAATCTCTCCCACCTCTGTTCCCATCTGCCCTGCTCACGTCCACCTCCTACAGTAATAATTTTTATCATTTTCTGTATCTTTCCAGCTGTTTTAGTAAATAAAAGCAAATGAGAATATACATTGTTGTGTTCACTCCTGTCTTAGTTTTCTAGAGCTGCTGTAACAGAAATACCACAAGTGGACGACTTTACCAAACAGAAGTTTATTTTCTCAGTTTAGGAGGCTCAGAGTCCGAATTCAGGGTGCCAGCTCCAGGGAAGGCTTTGCTCTGCCGGCGCTAGAGGAGAGTTCTTGCCTCTTGCCCCCTCTCTGCTGCTTAGCTTGTCTAATCTCTTTTTATATCTCAAGAGATTGACTCCAAACACACCCTACCCTTATCCTGCCTCATAACCATAACAAAGACAATCCATTCCCAAATGAGATTATATCCACAGAGGTCAGGAATTACAACACATATGTTCTGGGACACAATTCAATCCATAACTCCTCCCTTACTTTCACAAAAGGTTGCTTAGCGGTCTGTATTGTTCAGTTAATATCTGTATCTTGCTCTTTGCTTAACAGTCTATCTTGAAGATCAGGTATATGTAGAGGGCAGAGCTACCCTGACCAAGAAGGTGGCCACAGGAAGTATGAGACACTGAGCACTTGAAGTGTGGCTGGTGCAACTAAACACTTGAGTTGGTTTTTTTTTTCCTTTGTAATTGTATAATTTTCACTGATAAAATTAACATTACTATGAAATTAAAATAATTCTTGGATTAGTTAGAATCCTTTGGTTTTAAGTAATGGAAACATGCTTGAGTTGTTTCAAGCAAACACACACACACAGTAAAATATCATCATCGGCAACAAAACAAAATGTATTATGAGGACTCCAGGGAGTATCGAAATAACCCGCAGACAGGAGGACAGTTCTGCCTCAGGAAGAGGCATGGGGGAAAGACGGAGACAGGTGCCAGAATCCTATGTGCTAGTAGTCTGTCAGTCCTCTTCTGCTTTCTAGATAAACACCTGAGTTTTAATTTAAATTTTAAAATGGAAACAGTGTAAACTATTTTCCCATTAAATTCATCTTTATTCTTTTGATAGGACTGCATTTCACTTTAACCATTGAAAATTCAGCATCTGGATTGAGATGTACTGTAAGTGCAAAGTACATACTGGATTTCAAAAACTTAGTTAAAAAAAAGAATGTTAAAAATCTCATTAATAATTTTTTTACATTGTATATATGTTGAAATGATAATGTTTTGATATATCAAGTTAAATAAATACTAATATCAATTTCACCTATTTATTTTTGTTTTTCAAAATGTAGCAACTAGGAAACTCCCACAGGTGGCTTGTGTCATATTTCTGTTGAGCGGCACTGATGCACACATGCATTCTTTTTACAGCAGTGTGGCATTTCATTGTACACCAGTTTGACTGGTTGCTGTTCAGTCAGCTCTGACTCCTGGCGACCCCATGGGGGTCAGAGGAGAACTGTGACCCATGGGGTTTTCAGTCGATGATTCTTTTAGGAGTACATTGCCAGGACTTTCTTTCAGGGTGCCTCTAGGTGAACTTGAACCTCTAACCTTTCAGTTAGCAGCTGAGCACATTAACCATTTATACCAATCAGAAACATTACATTATATAAACAACAATGAAAAAAGCCCACTGCCATCAAGTCAATTCCAACTCACAACAGTACTATAGGACAGAGTAGAACTGCCAAAAGGTTTCCAAAGTTGTAAATCCTTATGGAAGCAGACTGACTCATCTTTCTCCTGCGAAGTGGCTGGTGGGTTCAAACCCTGACATTTCAGTTAGTAACCAAGCTCTTAACCACTGTGCCACCAGTGTTCCTCTTCCATTGTGTCAAACCAGAAACCAAACTTACTGCCATCAAGTCGATACCAACTCATAGCAACCCCTATTGGGTTTCCAAGGCTATAAATCTTTACAGAAGCAGATTGCCTCATCTTTTTTCTACAGAGCGGCTGGTGGGTTTGAACCACTGACCGTTTGGTTAGCAGCCAAATGCCTTAACCACTATACCACCAGAGCTCCTATTATATAGCTCCTATAATATAGGAGCTCTGGTTGCTTCTATTACATAGAGTTCCATAATTTATTTACCAGTCCACCGTTTATACACATTTCAACTGTTTCCAGTCTTACACTGTTGGAAAAAAATGCAACGACACTTAACCTTACACATGCATCCTTCGTTTGTGTGCAGGTGGATCTGTAGAATAAATTCCTAGAATTGGGGTTACTGGTTCAGAGGGTAAACGCATTTATAATTTTGTTATTGACAAATTACCCCCAGAGGGATTATACCAATTTGCATTCCCACCAGCCAAGTATGTGAGTGCCAGGCTCCCCCATGTACTGCCATTTTGAACTACAGTTATCTGCATGTTTTGAATATAACGAATGAGTTTCTTTTTGCTAAATCTGGAAGAATTTTAAGAAGATACCACAAATGGTTTGTCTAGCTTCTTTTTCTGTTTAAAAGAAAAGTAAAACTGTTGATGATAAAACTTACAGAATCAGCATTTGAGAATAGATCCAGATATATATTTCTTTCTTAAAAATGAAGATAGCTAAAAATTTACCCATGCTGTTTTCTGTGCATTTCTTCTATGGAAATAGGAACATTGATCATGTTCACATTTAGAAAGAGCAATTTTATGAGGGTTTGAATGCTGTGGATCAACATTTTTTTTGTTTTCCAAGAGTTAGGGCTTTCTTGAATTATTCCAGTAGTCCCCACTGACGGTGGGAGACTAACATTATATAACGTTACAAAATATATAAAATAGAATGGCAGTTTGCAGACAGTTTTTGCATACTGTCAGTTTCTGTGTTCCCTGGATTCGTTTTGCAATACGCTAAAGACATTTTAGTTTAATGGGCTGCTTAACTGAGGAAATCCACTGACCACGTAACTGGAGTTGAAGAGCTATCACACTCCTCAGTCCTTTCTGTGTCCTTTGTTAACACCCTGCAGAAAAAGTTCATCCATCCACCTTAAGGAGCGGACTCTTGTCTCTCTTTCGAGACTTGTGTGCCCTCTACTGCCCTCTTTGCTTTTTTGGTTGGTTGGTTGGTTTTTTCAGATTGAAATCAAGAACCAAATATTCAGTATACAAAAATAAATTGCTTCAATTTTTCCGTTCTTGGGAAGCTGAAAATAAGATTCTCAGGAAGAAATCTCACTATGCATTTAGTGATGTGTCAGATAAGTTAAATTAATGGATATTGAAAAAAAAAAAACTGCCATCGAGTTGATTCCAACTGATGGCGATTCCCATTGGGTTTCCGAGGTGGTAAGTCTTTACAGAAGTAGATTGCCCCATCTTCCTTTCCGTGGAGTGGCTGGTGGGTTTGAACTACCAACTTTCTGGTTAGCAATCAAAATACCTTAGGTACTGTGCCCCTAGAGCTCCTTATAGTGGATATAAAGCCATATTTGGCAAATCCTAGAGTTTGAGAAATACATTTTTATAGAAAATACAGCTATAGACATTTACTATCTTTACTGTTTTATTGATTTTCAATATGAAAAGATTGAGAAAAGCAAAAACAAGTTGAGACTGATAATGCTGCTCATGTAGGAAGAACACTAGGACATGGGGACTTATTCTAAGGGTCATGCTTAGCAATTGGTGATGGTGAGTCATTTCTGCTGTACTTAAGTTACAAAAGAAATACACAACTTCCTAATAGGAGGCAGCTGCACAGATGCTATTCTTCACATCCCTTTTTGCTTCTATTGCTAATTTTGCCTAATTACTTTGTTTCAGGAAGGATTTTCACTCATTGACAGCAAGAACTGGTTGAAGATTGTAAGACGCATGGATTGTCTGTTGTTTGGAACAACAATTAAGGCAAGATGCTGTGTGGCCACCTATTTTAACCATAGAATCAAACCCTTCTCATCTTCTATGTGTGTGTGGCGCAGGGTACGGTGGGGTGAGGGGGAGCTTCTCTGTGTAGTGAAATGGTTCAGGGAGGAATATGCATGTTTAAGAAAGGTTTATGTTGGTCATGAGCAAAACAAACATCATGACAGAAAACAAGGATTGTGGAGAGGTTTCAAGAGGACATTACTAAAGAGCCAGGCCTTTGATTGATCTCTTAGTATCTAATTCTCTGTCCCCCAAACACAAATTGGGAGGCGGTGGAGTCCATCATAGTTTGTCTTGCTCTTTGGATATTAAGAAAGTTGTGTATTTTACACTGTTTCACTCAATCTATCTTTTCATTTTATCCCTTCTTTAATATTTTTTAAAAAATCCCTTTTATTTGCTCTCTAGCTGTATTAAACCTAAAGAATGATCCTCATCAAAGAACCATGCAGACTAATCACCTGGGTTATTTTCTTTCAGAAATAATGATAAAAACCAATCTGTTAGCATTCACTGAGTAGATCATATTGCAGCTCAGGTGAAAGATGCTAATTTTGAATGGATTCAGATTCTGGGGTTGGAAGAGGTCTTCAAGAGCATCTAGTAGAGAGAGGAGTTTTTAACCCCCAAAGAAAGTCCACAGACCCCCAAAGAGTCTCCAGGACATTCAGGAGATCTATGAACTTGCAAGGATTTTCATTGACTCCTAATTGACATTTATCATTTCAAATTGTGAATGTAGCTAACAGACCACAATAGTATTAGACCATATCACCACTGGGAATCACATTTTCATGTCACATTACGCTTTTCTCGGGAATCTCAAAATGTCATTTATTCTCATAGCTACCTCAGAATTACAGTGCTTATTAGTCCTGCTGCTAGATCTTTTTATTAATTATATTACTAAAGAAGCATATATATTATTAGATCACAAATGAGTATCTTAATATTATAATAAATATTTCAGTGTAATTAGTTTTCTTTGTAATCTTATGGATTTTATTTTATGTGATATAAAAACATTATTTTGAGGAGGAGTCCACTGGCTGGAGCACACACACACAAACCGTAGGAACCCCTGTTTTCATTTAATATATGAGGAAACTGATTGAATTAAGCCAGTCACCAAGGTTATAGCTAGCTGAGAGCTGGGCTGCGCATTGGTCTTCTGACTCCCAGGCCAGGATTGTATGTGCTGAATGAACACAGAGATCTTTCCAAAAAAAATAGTTATACTCTACCATATGTTCACTATTCGAGTTGTAACTGTTTTTTGTGATTTTTAATTTGTTATTAAAGTTTGTTGTTGTTGTTGTTGTTAGGTATTGTCGAGTCAGCTCTGACTCATAGCGACCCCATGTACAACAAAATGAAACACTGCCCAGTCATGCACCATCCTCACAATCCTTGCTATACCTGAGCCCATTGTTGTAGCCACTGGTGTCAGTACATCTCGTTGAGGGTCTTCCCCCTTTTCACTGACCCTTCACTTTACCGAACATGATGCCCTTCTCCAGGAATGGTTCCTTCTGACAGCATGACCAAAGTAGGTGAGACAAAGTCTGGCCATTCTTGCTTCCAAGGAGCATCCTGGCTGCACTTCTTCCAGGACAGATTTGTTCCTTCTTCTGGCAGTCCATGGTACTTTCAGTATTCTTTGCCAACAGCACAACTCAAGTGCATCAATTCCATTTGTTGTTGTTGTTGTTGTTATGTGCCGTCGAGTCGGCCCCGACTCATAGCGACCCCTCCTTGGGTTTCCGAGGCAGTATCACTACGGAAGTAGGATTGCCCAACCTTCCTTCCGAGGAGTGGCTGGTGGGTCCATTTAGGTCTTCCTTATTCATTGTCCAGTTTCCACACGCATATGAGGTGATTCAAAATACCTTGGCTTGGGTCAGGCATACCTTAATCTTCAAAGAGGTCTTTTGCAGTAGATTTGACCAGTGCAATACGACTGATTCTTTGACTGTTTTTTTCATAAGCATTAATTGTGAGATTGAGATATATGTGTGTATGTGTGTGTATACAGGCTAGGAACTTTCTGCTTGTTATTGTGAATTGTATTCTTTATTGTCAAGTTATTTCTAGCTGCTGATTGGATTTTTTTCTGAATTCATTTCAGTTTAGCCTCCTTTGCTTTTAGTAGGCATCGAGTAGCATGTTCCTTGGTGACCCCACGCACAATAGGAGGAGATGCTGCCCTGCCCTGGGCCATCCCCATGGTCGGCTGCAGATCAGATCGTTGTGATCTGTGGGGTTTTCACTGGCTAATTTTCAGAAGTAGATTGCAGATCTGTCTTCCTGGACTGGAAGCTTCAGCAAAACCTGCTCAGCACTATAGCAGCACACAAGGCTCCAATAACAGACGGGTGGTGGCTGCCTATGAGGGGCATGGGCCAGGAATCTAAACCAGGTCTCCCACGTGGAAGCTCTCATCACTGAACCACCACTGCCTCACCTTAGCCTCCTTAGTAAACATTTTTTTTTTTAATTTCTAGAAAAGTAGTTCTATAATTTGCAAATGTGATCATCGTATTATTTCCAATGTTGCTATGTGCCATCAAGTCGGACCCGACTCATAGTGACGCCTCGCTACAGAAATAGACTGCTCAATCTTCCTTCCAAGGAGTGGCTGGTGGGTTTGAACCGCCAGCTCTCTGGTTAGCAATCAAGTGCCTTAGGCACTGTGCTACCAGAGCTCCTGTTTAGGAGCCTAGAAGTCTGAATTCAGAGTGCTGGCCCTCAGGGAAGGCTTTCTCTCCCTGTCAGCTCTGGGGGAAGGTCCTTGTCTCTTCAGCTTGTCTCCTGCTGTGTTGGAGATCTCCATGTGGCTTGGCATCTATCTTACCCCATGTCTGCTCTGCTCGCTTGTTTAATTTCTTTTATATCATAAAAAAGATTGACTCAAAATATGCCCTACACTAATCCCTCCTCATTAACCTGACAAAGATAACCTATTCCCAAATGGGATTATAACCACAGGCATAGAGATTAGAATTCACAACACAAATTTATCCTGGCAGAAGTGCAGCCAGCATGCTTCTCAGAAGTGAGAACGGCCAGACTTTGTCTCACCTACTTTGGTCAGGTGTCAGAAGGGACCAGTCCCTGAGAAGGATACCATGCTTGGTAAAATGGAGGGTCAGAAAAAAAGGGGAAGACACTCAACAAGATGGATTGACACAGCAGCTACAGTGATGGGCTCAGGCACAGGACAGGTCAGTCACTCATTCTCTTGTACATGGGGTCGCTATAAGTCAAGATCGACTCAACAGCACCTACCAGCAACAACAATTTTAGAGGGCATATTTCACTCCTTAACAAGTTGATACCTTTTATTACTTTTCCTGCCTTACTGAAGTAGCTAGACCTTCCAGAATGTACACTTATATGATAGTGGCATCCTTGACATCTTCCTGACTAGAATGCGATAGGGTTTACATGTTAAGTACATCTCTGGCTGTTGGTTGGATATTCTTTGCCATGGAAGGCATATGCTTTCCTTTATAGTACATTTATTAATAATTTTAGCAGGATTACATATTAAATTTTATCAAATGCTTTTTGACACCCATTAAGAGCGTATTTCTTTTTTTTTTCCTCCTTTGATCTACTTATTTGCTGTAATGTATTAATATTGAACCAACAGAGCCTTCTTTCTGCCTTAACCTGGCAAAGGGTCCATCTCTGGTGCTTCTTGCCTTGGATAACTCTTAGTTACCAAGTGTTAAGACAACAAGCACCACTGTTTCAATAGATAGGTGGAAGAATTTTAAAATAAAACTTTCACTCCTCTCACAACAATTTAATGTAACTTAACTTCTGAGGGTAGCAAGCATTGTATGTCTGTTTCTCTCTGGACTGAAATAAGTAGATTAAGTTCTGCCTATTTGTAACACATGCCTCTTTTTGTTTCGGCAAATCTGATCAAAAATGGCCCAGTCTACACCTAAGGCATTTGACTGCTAACCAGAAGGTTGGTGGTTCAAACCCTCTAGCTGCTCTGCGAAAGGAAGACTGGGCAATCCACTTACGTGAAGATTTACTACCTTGGAAACCCAACAGGGGTCACTGTGAGTCAGAATCGACTCCGTAGCAGTGAGTTCCGTTTTGTTTGTGTGTTTGTTTACTGTCAGCCAGTGCCATTTCTTTTTTATCAGATTTTCTGAAACAAAAAGAAGCACATGTTCTAACAGGAAGTTCCTGGACAGGGCAAACAGTTTACAGATAACCTGCTAACCTGAAGGTTGGTGGTTTGCTGCCAACCTGAAGGTTGGTGGTTTGAATCCACCCAGAGATACCTCAGGAGAAAGGCTTAGTGATCTACTTCCCAAAAAAAAACAGCCACTGGAAATCCTGTGGGTCACAGTTCTTCCCTGACGTACACAGGGCCATCATGAGTGGGAGCTGGCTCAACAGCTCAGCCAGCTGGCTCAGCAGCAGCTGGTTGGTTGAACAGTAGACAGCTTTCCCCATCCAAAGGGAACTTTGGTTCCAAGGAGTAAACCTGAACCTGAACCTCTGTACTTCCCACCCTCAGTAACTAACTCACTGAGGACTTTAACATGATTTTATCTGACCTGTACATCGAGTATTGCCTTAGTGTCAAAGCAAACAATCAAAGAAAATGCTGAAATTCCTTCTCTGCTTAAGTCCTTTTTCTGTAATTTTCTCCAATAAGGAGTTCACGGTTAACAGTGGGAAAACAGCTTTGTTGGGATCCCAGTGGTAAAAGAAGACTTCTCACAATCTGGGGGCTGAAATGAAAACCAGCAGGAAAAACTGACTGCATTGGTGCAGCCCCTGTGTCTCCTAGCCTGTGTTTCTCTGAGGCTGCTGTCTGAGCACCTCAGCTCACAGAGCATGAGGCTGTCCCTGTAACATCTGCTCTGTAGTCTGCAGCTTAAGAATCTTTACTTGGACGACTGGTATACCATTATGGTCCTCAGCCTGTATGACTATGAGACCAGAACTAGTTGGTGCCCAGCTACCACTGTCAACCACTCAGAGGGGGATCTATGTAGGAGATCTTGGATAGAGAGGGAGAACAATGTGGAACAAAACTCAACATCACTTAAAAAAAAAAAAAAAAGACCAGGTTTGCTGGTCTGATAGAGCCTGATGGAACCACTGAGACTATGGCCCCTACCTGCCCTTCAGGTCTAGAATTAAACCCACTCCTGTGACTTCCAGCCAAACAAAGATAGGCATATGAACTGAACATTTATATTAGGTAGATACACTCCTTAGAAAGATCAATCATGGGAGAATAGAAGGGCTGTGTATGCACAGGGAGACAGCTCAGGGGGCAGGAGTGCATGGGAGGGAAGGACACAGGGAAGAGGTAACTATGGGGAGAAAGAGGGAGGGGAGCTGTTGCATTGTCAGAGATTGCAGTCAATGTCGTGAGACAAAGCGTATGTGAGCTGCTATACGGAAAGTGAATTTGCTCTGTAAACTTTCACCCAAATCACAATTTTTTTAAAAAAAGAATCTTTGCTTGGAGATGCTGGTCACTCCTGTGTGTCAGCACATAGCGAGCCTAATTATACCAGGAAAGCAATGAAACCTCCATCTTCTTAATTGTGAGTATGTGGTGATAAATGTAGAAAAGCAGTGACCCTTGACTTTGGTTTCCTTAAGGAGTCTGTATAATAAAAGAATTTCCTATTAGTTGTAGTAACTTAAAATTAACTGTCTTGAAGTAGGGTAGAAGCAACTTAGTATGTAAGCCACTACTTAAAAGGTACTAATTCTGTGCTAATCTCCTTTGATGATAGAAACTGGAGACTGTGTGTTTGAGGCAGTTGATGGCTGTCAGGATATACTTGAAAACTTCATTTTTCTCTTTGCAAAAGCAAGGAGCTCTTTCTGACTCTTAGTGATGGCATAAAAATAAATCTCATCAATATTTTCAATCTAGTGGTCCGTTTTATTAAGCCAGTGGCAGGTTTGCCATGTGGTAACCCCTGGCATAGAGGATGTGGGATGGAGATGTAACTCATTTGCCGGTTCTTCCTGAGGGACCTTGGTTTTATCTGGGATCCACATGCATTGAAGTGGTATTTCTGGCTTTAGATGATAAGCTCAAATTCTTTTGGAGGATTTTACAGAAGCAAACATGGAGAAAGACTGCAATTGAGTTCTCAGGCATTTAACTTACTCTGACATTTCTTGGAACTGCACTACTAAGAAACCCTGCCTACCCAAACTGGTTTCTTATGTATACTTACATATGGTGTAGACTTGCAACAGTTAGTCTCAGATTTCTGCCATGCTTATCCATTTAATAACAATTGGGCCTCTTTGTGCATACAGCTCTTTAGCTAGCTACAAGATATAATTATATAATGTGATTGTTTCTCAAAAGGTCAGTTAGATATTACAGAATCATAATAGAAACAGCTAATAAAAAAGTACTTCATACAGATATCTTCATGTAGATTTTAAATGAGGATGAATTAGAAACAGCTAATTAATTGAGAACAAGGAAATCAGCTCTAATTTGACAAAAGATGAAACACAGTATTACCAAAAACTGTACTGTTTTAAACAGTTCTTTACCATTCCTCAGAGAAAATAGGTTTTAATGACTTGTCATAATTTTAGGATGATCCATCCAAGAGAAAAATGGGCAAAAGGAAAAAATAAAGGCCAATAAGCATAAGAAAAATATTTAACCTCACTAGTAATTGAAGAAATGATTTTTTAAAAAGAAATGAAATTTTAAAATAAATATATATGCTAACCTAGTAGATTGAGAAAAACTTAAAAGCAGCAGCTAATCAGCTGAAAACAAGGAATCAGCTCTCCAGTGTAGGAGGGTGGAGGAAGATGGGTACAGGGACGCTTGGTGGGAGTAAGCTGGTACTAACGTGCCACAGGCAGCATGTACCAAGACATGAAATACAAATGTCATTCAACCGAGCAAGTCTACTTTGATACATTTATGTGCAAAGCTGTATGTATAAGGATGCTCACCAAAGTTTTGTGATTTATAATAAGGAACAGAGCTGGAAATGACTTAAATGCTTGTCAATAGGCCAGTTAAATGAAGGAATTTTTCAGCCATCAGAAGTAATAAGGTAGGTTTCTGTTTTTATATGCTTATTGTTATCAGGTTACAGAACAGTGATATTGTTTAAAATACCACATATATAATATGTTGTTATGTTACGTGCCGTGGAGTCACACCTGACTCATAGCAACCCCTCCTTG